ACTATTTATTTCAGAGCTCCCTTCCCCCTCTCCATTTCTGAAGAAGGCTGCCGAAACGCCAGCTTTCCTGCTCCTCTGATGCTGCCTGGCCTGCTGTGTTCCTCTAGCTCCACACTGTGTTATCTCAGACCAGATAATGAACTTTCACAGCTAATTGCCTTTGCTGTTTAGCTACAAGTATCACTGGACATGGAAGTCTAAGAAAAATAGAGTTGGATAATCAAATTGAATAGTGCAGCAGGCTCGAAGGGCCTAAGGGCCTACTCTAGCTCCCATTTTCTATGGAGCAAGTGTCAGTGATGATGCCCATAATACTCTCAATAAAAATTGTTTAAAAAAGAACCAACCTCATTCACTAATGTCCTTCAGGGAAGGAAATCTGCCTGTCCTTACCTGGTCTGGCCTACATGTGACTCCAGACCCACAGCGATGTGATTGACTACCTCTGACATTGTCTCGGAAGCCAACAATCTACAGTAATTAAAGGGATGGACAATGACGTGACCTTGCCAACAGGGCCCACATCCCATGGAAATGTTAAATAAAACACCCCATCTTTTAAACATCACAGTTTATGAATTTTTTTTGAACGTGTATGGCACTAGTGGTGTGTTGACTCTTGGTTACAGCTGTTATAGAGTTTGAGTTTACAGTCAGGCAGTGAGGACAGCAGCTACAGCTCACCTTAGAATCACATGTTTGTCGGTTCAAATCCCATTCCTGACCCTCCCTCTGCACAAAAATCTACACTGATTCTCCCACTGCAGACCTGAGGGACTGCCCAAGGTGCCATCTTCTGAGTGGGGTACGAATCTGTAGTTAAACGTGCCCTCCCTGATGTAAAAGATCTCACGGAACTATTCTGAAGAATATTAGGAGAGTTCTCCCAGCCTAGGGGCAGCATCCCAAGAACAGATTATCAGGGTGCAGACTGTGGGGAGGATTGGTTGACACCTTACAACAGCGACTACCTTAGAAAAGTATTAAAAATCAGCTGCAAAGCACTTTGGGATGGCCTGAGGTCAAGAAAGGTGCTATATAAATGCCAGCTCTCTCAGTATTCAGTCTAAAAAAATACACAAAGGCCCATCACACAAATAAACAGCTCTAGAAAGACAAAACAAGCACCATCTAACACTAGCAATCCTTGACTGCTATTCAAAACTTGCCTCCTACTCACTCCCTTCCTCCCAGCAATTATCTTCAAAACACATTAGATTTTCAAGGTTTGGGAGATGAAGAAAAACAAAATGATCAATTCTAACACAAGGTAAGAATGGATTGATTCTGCTTGCTGTTGCTGATACGACCAGCATGTGGGTCAAATTCAAGGCGTCACTCCAAAAGGCAGAACACATTTATTTTGGCTACATCCATGTCGGAAAACTTGAAAGCAGCAGATTCATTTGGAAACAAGCTGCACCCAACAGCCCACAAACAGCAACACATGTTCTCAAAGCAGTCTGCAATCTTTGGCTCCTGAGTAATTATATCATCACTTGGTGGTTTAACTGAGGAAAGCCTGATGGGACTGGATGTCAGTTTCTGCAACTCTCCACGGTGCACAGAATATTGTTTTCTTTTATTCACTTACAGAATGTGGACACCTGTGGTTAGGCCAGTATGTATTGTCCAGAGGGCAGTTAGGAGTCAACGACATCGCTCAGGGTCTGGAGTTACATGTAGGCCAGACCAGGTATGGATGGCAGATTTCCCTCCCTAAAGGACATGAGACTAGCTTCTCATTGAATTCAAATTTCACCACCAGGATTCGAAACCATGTCCCTGCGGTATTAGCCTGGGACTCTGAATTAGTATGAATGAGATTACCACTGCACCACCTCCTCCACTGAACAAGTTTAAATTAACCCTGGTCATTGTATAGTTAGCACTGCTGCCTCACAGCGCCAGGGACCTGGGCTGGATTCCACCCTCGGGCGACTGTCTGTGTGGAGTTTGCATATTCTCCCTGTGTCTGCGTGGGTTTCCTCTGGGTACTCCGGTTTCCTCCCACAGTCCAAAGAAATGCAAGTTAGGGTGGATTGGCCATGCTAAATTGTCGCAGTGTTCAGGGATGTGCAGGCTAGGTGGGTTAGCAGGGTTACAGTGATAGGGTGAGGGGGTGGGTCTGGGAGGGATGCTCTTCAGAGGGTTGGTATGGACTCACTGGGTTGAATGGCCTGCTTCCATGCTATAGGGATTCTATTTCTCTAGCTCAACACTTTCCAAACCACGGCCCCAGCAAGGGCCACCAGATAAGATTTTGGGGCTGTAGGCGGAGAGGCAGCAACGGTATCATGGACTCAGGCCAGATTTCCAAAAGGCCCCCTGGAACTCCCTACACTTGTGTCTGCTGATGGGCAGGCAACTTGAAGAGACTGATCTCAGAGCCTGCTTCTTCCTTTCCAGGGAAAGTCTGCCTGCGCCTCAACCCCCGCGCCTTGCTCAACCCCTGTTCCCCAAAACCCTCCCCAAATGGCTAGGCTCACACAAAACGTGAGGGAGAAAACACAAGTCATGTTGGGAAATATTCGGAGAAACAGCAGCCCAGATTGAAGGCGATACATTAGAATGCAAACACCGATCCATCAATCCTTGAGTTCTTACCAACAATTTCCTTGAGCTCTGCATTAATCACACTAATTCTCTTGGCAGTGGTGAGGTGAGGGGTACTGAATCCCACCTCCTCCGCGATTGTGAAGAGATCTTTCCACCACAGAGCTCCTCCGAGACATTCACCTGAACAGAGATTATCAGACGAAGTTCAGCGCACAGAATACATCGTGTTACCTGGTTACCAGAGGCAGATTACCACAAGGTTCCCAACAAAAACCAGCCTGGCAACCCATCGCTAAGTCTCAACCCAAGCCCCGCTGGACCTGGACAATAAGAAGCCAAGTGATTTGCTCTCCTTTGCTGCCCTGTGCTCACCTGAAGTCATAGGTAAGATTGACAAAGGTACTCACGGGCATATTGAGGTCAAAAACCACAGGCTGGGCACACAACATCGCCAGTTCATCAAATTAAACCTGACAGTTTCATCCACATCTACATTTTCCTTTTCATTACTCTCCCTCAACTTTAAACCGGCAAAATCATGTTGTGGCAGATGGCACAGGAGGGTGGGGGGTAATGAACTCTTGAGCAGCTTGGAAGTTAAAATCCCGAAGGTTCTACATGAAGCAGACAGCTCACTCCTGCAGTTTGCTGCACAACTGGCAACAGTGACAATCGCCTCCGCTGCATCTGCTCCCGAAATGAGGCATTCCACTCCCGGACATCCCAGATGTCCTCGTTTTTCAAGGACCGCAACTTCCCCTCCACGGTGGTCGAGTACGCCCTCGACCGCATCTCTCGCGTTTCCCGCAACTCATCCCTCACACCCCCTCCGCCGCAACAACCACCAAAACAGAATCCCCCTCGTCCTCACGTACCACCCCACCAACCATCCAACGCATCATCCTCCGGCACTTCCGCCACCTGCAATCCGACCCCACCACCAAAGACATTTTTCCCTCCCCACCCTTATCTGCTTTCCGGAGGGACCACTCTCTCCGTGACTCCCCTCCAGCCCCACCACCACCGGCACTTTTCGCTTCAACCGCAGGAAGTGCTACACCTGTCCCTACACCACCACCCTCACCTCCATCCCAGGCCCCAAGAAGACCTTCCACATTAAACAGGTGTTCACCTGCAGATCTGCTCATGTGGTATACTGTATCCGCTGTTCCCGATGTGGCCTGCTTTGCGGAACACCTACACTCAGTTCGCACTAAACAACTGCACCTCCCAGTCGCGAATCATTTCAACTCCCCCTCCCACTCCTTGGACAACATGTCCATCCTGGGCCTCCTGCAGTGCCACAACGATGCCACCCGAAGGTTGCAGGAACAGCAACTCATATCTCACTTGGGAACCCTGCAGCCCAATGGTATCAATGTGGACTTCACAAGCTTCAAAATCTCCCCTCCCCCGACCGCATCACAAAACCAATCCAGCTCGTCCCCGCCTCCCTAACCTGTTCTTCCTCCCACCTATCCCCTCCTCCCACCTCAAGCCCCACCCCCACTTCCTACCTACCAGCCTCATCCCGCCTCCTTGACCTGTCCATCCTCCCTAGACTGACCTATCCCCTAACTCCCCATCTACACTCACCTTTACTGGCTCCATCCCCACCTCTTTGACCTCTCCAGCTATCTGCTCCTTAACTATCTTCCATCCGCCGCCCCCTCTCTCTCTATTTATTTCAGAATCCCCTCCCCTCCCCCATTTCTGAAGAAGGGTCTAGGCCTGAAACATCAGCTTTCCTGCTCCTCTGATGCTGCTTGGCCTGCTGTGTTCATCCAGCTCTACACCTTGTTATCTCAGATTCTCCAGCATTGGCAGTTCCCACTATCTCTGAATATTCCAAAATATGTCACTCACGCTCCCTTTGCTCCCACCCTGGTTTCTCCCCCAGTCTCCTTTCTCAAATCTCCTCAAAATTGGCAATGCCCTGTACTCTGGATCTCCATCCTTCACTCATTGGCTCTCAATAAGATGGAGAAAGGTTTTGACATTGTCCTCGCATGAGCAATTGGAAGAATCTGGAATATGAATCAATTTCTCCGGAACATTTACCACTGCTACAAAACAATCAGGTTCCTTTGCCACTTACCCCACAAAATCTTGTGTGTTCTTATAGCTTCTGGAAGGTTGCAATCAGCATAGACGTCACTAAAGTACATTTCTCCCCCATCCTAATATGGACAAATCATTCCATGTCAGCATTTGTTAGCAAGAACCTACATTATTCGTCTATAAATAAAATGGGTCTCGCATCTGTGCAATTGACATATGAACAAGGAACAACAGTCGGCCATTCAGCCCTTCAATAAGATCTAGTAAACATTCTCTGAACTGCTTCCAACATATTAACATCCTTCCATAAGTACAGCGACCAGTGCTGTACGCAGTACTCCAGATGTGGTCTCATCAATGCTCTACATAACTGAAGCAGAACCTCCATACCCTTCCATTCAATGCTGTGGAGACCGGACTGGAATACCACAGCTGCTACACTGGGAGGGCCATTTTTCTAACACCCAGACAGATGACCATCTTTGTGAAGGAAAGCAGAGCAGCGATTGACCCAGGGCAATAACAAATAGGCAGCTCAAGGCAACAATCTGTTCTCCAAACACAGCAGCTCAACAGACGGCTGCAACTTCTCAGACACTGGGGGGAACACTGTGTGCATACCTTTAACACTCGATAAGCTTCTTTCAGCACAGCCTTTTTATCAGGTGATAGGTTAATCACACAGTTTGATCTGAAAGAAAACAAAACAAAACTGTTCCTCTCTGTAATAACAAGGTGTGGAGCTAGATGAACACAGCAGGCCAAGCAGCATCAGAGGAGCAGGAAAGCTGACGTTTTGGGTCTAGACCCTTCTTCAAAAACGCAGTTCCTACTATCTCTGTTCCTCTCTGTAAGATTGGTTTAATGTATAACAGCCAAGGACATATCCCCATACAAACGGGAAGCTCAAACATTATAACCAGCTGTATTGCAATCACAGCAGCACCTAGAGGTGCAAATATTAGACAATCCCTCCACTCAGAGTGAAGTCAGGCTCCCGCCACTCCAGGGTGGGACGTCAGGCTCCCTCCACTCCAGGGTGGGACGTCAGGCTCCCTTCACTCTGGGGGAGTGGGGGTTGGGAATGTCAGGCTCCCTCCACTTCGGTTGGGGGCAGGGGAGTGTGGGTGGTGGTGGTGGTGGTGGAGGTGGATCAGGCTTTTTCCACTCCGGAGGGACAGGCATCAGGCCCACTCCACTCAGGGTGGAACGGTCAACAGGTTCACGCCTCACTCCACTTCACACAGGTCAGATTCTGGCTGCAAAGTCGGACTCAGCATCAATACTACAGTAGTGTAAATGCAGCCACAGACACTGCTGTAGGGAGAGCAGAAATTAATTATAGTGCAGCAGACTGTGTGGAATAGTTACAGAGGCAATCTATCCAGCAGCAGATACAAACACATAACCTCACCCTGATGGGCAGCTTGAAAAGAGGCTGGAACGCTCTTCGCTGATTTAGCATTTCAGGCAAGGTCCCATTTTACCAACACAGCAAAACCTGGAGAGTTTCTAAAAGCACCTTGGAATATTATTCCATTTATTCATAGTTGCTTATTTTAAATAATTCATTTTCTAAGTAGTAAATCTACATTTCAGGATGTAATTAAGTTATTTAATTTTTGTCACGGCATATTTTTTGGTGCAAGATGTAAACTTTGAATGATCAGTCCGAAAGTAATCTGCTAAAATTTTGCTGTGCTCTTATTCTGCGTTTCATTCACGAAGGCTTTACACAAGAAACTGATGGAATCAGGAATATTAACAATTGCCTTAATATCAAGAGAATAATCTCTGTTAATTCAGGTAATGTTTCATCCCCACAAAAAAATTAAACATTGAAAACTGATTTGTCCTTTTAAAAAAAAGCTTAAAATAATACTCACTGGAATTCAGAAGAATGAGAGGTGGCCTTATTGAAACATACAGGATCCTTACAGGGCTTGCCAGGGGAGATGTGGGAAGGTTGTTTCCCCTTATGGGAGAGTCTTGGACTGGAGACATAATCTCAGAGGAAAGGGTCGCACATTGACGATAGAGATGATAGGGAATTGCTTCTAGGTTGTGAAATTCTTTACCATGGCGGGCTATGGAGGCTGAGTCATTAAGTACCATCAAGGCTGAGATAGACAGATTTTAATCGGTAAGGGAATCAACGGGTTATGGAAATAAAGCAGGAAATTGGGGATGATCAGATCAACCACAATCTCATTGAATGGTGGAACAGGTTTGATGGGCCGAATGGCCTGCTCTTTTATCTTCTGGTTTTATTTAAAGAAGTGAATTTTTCATGCTAAATCTTTTGCAGTGCAACTGAATCTGAATCACACTAATATTTACTTCCCTTCCTGTCCCCTCCTTCTCAAGCTCTCCACCTGCTTGGGTCAGTTTGAAGTTGCAGATTCTCGCTATTGTTAAAATTTCTCTCAGGTGGCAGCCACAGCAAAGCCTACTGAGTTGGGTCAGAATGTGGCCTGTTTCCCTGGTAACACCCCTCCATCTCCGTGCCCACGTTCCTGTAACTAATCAGGTGGCTGCCCCTTTATTTTCCACCTTGCAAAACTCCCAATCGGGTCCTGGTTCGTGTCCAGGGTTGGTTCCTGACTCTCCAACGAAGCTGCTTCCCAGTTCCTGCTTCCTCTGCAAACATCCAGATGCAGATCCCCATCCAGAGCTATTTGTTGGGAAATGTGGCAGGGCATCAGGTGAGGACAAGATTTCCTGGTGTCTGATTTACATTTCCCAACCAATCCCTGACACCCCTCCAGCCCCAAAAGGGTCATGTATCCTAACCTCACAACCTCATCCATATTCATTGACCAGCTTCAAAGAATATTAAAATGTCAGATACCCATTAATGCAGAGCTTTATTGCACAGGAAGAGGCTATTCGACCCATCATGTCTGAGCTGGTTCTATTACCTAGTGCCAATCTCCTGCCTTTTGCTCACTTCTTTCTAATATCCTCTTGAATACCTTAATGGAACCAGCCTCCACCTGCACTGCATTCCAGACCCAAGGTATCTGCTTTTTCATGTTGCTGCATTTGCACATCACTGTAAACGTTTGCTCTCTCATTCTATCTACTTTGTCCAGCCCACACATGATTTTGAAAACCTCAATTAGATCTCTGCTTGGCCTTTCTCTCTCAAGAGAGAACAGTCCCAACTTCTTCAGTCTATTCTCCCAACTCTTTAACCTGATGAAGGTCAACACTGCCGGCAGTGAGAGGAAAGCAGCAGAGTCTTTTGTGGAAATGTTTCTGTGTCTATTTTGCAAAGTTGAAACTAGTCCACAAGACCAGTAAACATAGCAGAAGCAGGCCATTCAGCCCAACCCATTACTCTGCCATTCAATGAGATCAATGACTGCCAACTCATTTTCTCTTGTGATCTGACTTGCAGGTTTAAACTTTTTATTTTTTTTTTAAGGTAATTGATCGCAGGATGTGGGCATTAATGGTTCACCTGGTATTTGCTGGCCGTCCCTAATCGCCCATGAGAAATAGTGGTGAGCTGGTTTCCTGAACTGTTGCTATGTGAGTCCCTACCCAACAGGACTACGGATGCTCCCACACAGATGGAGTTTAATTTAGATAAACGCGAGGTATTGCATTTTGGTAAAACAAACAAGGGCAAGACTTATACAATTAATGGTAGGGCCCTGGGGAGTGTTGTAGAACAGGGACCTAGAGGTTCAGGTACATAATTCATTGAAATTTGCATCACAGGTAGACACGGTGGTTAAGAAGGTCTGGCTGTGAATAACAACATTCCTCCACTTAATCCTGGCACCTACTGACCCAACCAGCTGACCAGAAACTAAGCCTTTATTCTTCTACCTGCATAGGTTCAGAGAAGAATACTTTCATTGCTACTGCCTGATGACTAAAAGAAAAAAATAATCCAAATTCTTTCTTACATAATAATATCAAAGCTGTTATCCTTCAATCCAGCATCGCCGAGATTTTCAATGTAGCCTTGAAGGAACTCAACATTGGGTTTACTGAAGCCAAACAGCTGAGTGTGATACTCAATAAACTTCTGAGCAACTTGTATCTGTGAAATAACAGCAACACAGACACAATGAAAGAATATTTACAGGGACCACTAGAATATTAATGCAATGGCTCTTCTCATCTGCAAACAAATATTATCAACGTCAGGAAAGGAAGATTTGGGTGTTTACATACTCAGAACTTTACAAACCCTATGGTGTAGTCACTATTTTAATATTGTCGTGGTGGTGACCAATTTGCACACAGCAAGTTCTTGCAAACAGCAGTGTGATAACGTCAAAAGAATTTCTTTTCAGTGGTAAACACAGCACATGCACACTTGCACACACATACTCAGACAGACAATTATAGGTGTCCATGTGCACACAGACACAGATAGGCACAGTAATGGGCATGTATTTACACAGACACAAGCATATGCATGCTCACATGCATGGAGGTAAATCCACGCATGTACATGCACATGCAGAGATTCACGAGCACTGTCTGACAATATTTTTGAAAGTTATTGCTACAGCAGTGGAAACTACAGAGTATAATTACTGCTTGGCTAAATTAAAGAAAACAGACACTCATGTCAAAAACACTGTTAATATTCTTATGTTTTAATCTAAATAATGAACCAATTCAGTAACAGCGATGCACTCTGTTGTGTGTGTGTCACTGTGACGATTCTGTTACTGTACAATATCCCGAGGTAGTACATAGCTTCAGGCGGTTCAATCAGCAAATTGTGATGGGGAATGGTCCCATAAGTCAGCCTCCAGTTATAGAGAGGGTCTCTCTCTCTCTCGCTCTCTCACACACACACACACACACACACACACACACAGAAGGATTGGCCATTAGTGAAAGGACCAAGTTCTACGGAGTTGGAAGAATGTAAAGTGACACAGAGTGAGGTATGGTGAGGTTGAAAAGGGCCAGGCCATTTTACCGATATGTGTCGGCTCAGCTCCTCGTTGTAATTTCACTACTGAAGCACAGCGATTTCTCGCCAGCCTGCATTCAGAAACAGCAGCAGAGTTGAGGGTGTGCTGAAGACACTGCCCAGAGTGAGGAGGGCACCCTCCCTCCCCTATCCCCTTCAGGAGCTGACTGCTCCATCCTGAAACGCTACCTGCTCCTTGGTCATGTCAATCCCAGTCACATGACCGCGCTCTCCCACCAGCTTGCTGAGCATGAAGCAATCCCGGCCACTCCCACTTCCCAGGTCCAGGATCCAACAGTCTTCCAAACATTCAGGAACCACAAGACCACATCCATAGTACCTATCAAACAGCATAAAGTCAAACTCAAAACCTTTTCAAGTACAAATAATGCACACGGCACACAGGTCCAATATAAAAACCTTCAGAGAATCAGAAAAGCAAATGGTACAAGCAGAGGTCATTTGGCCCATCATGCCCAGGTTAACTCTTTAAACCAGCTGTAAAATTAGACCCACTTGATACAACAGGAACAACGGGTGACCAATATTACAACGTTCCCTTTGAATTTGGACCCTTTGGTTCAAGGCAAAATCACCCTGGTGCCAGAGCTTAATGCAGAATATTTATCCACTTTCACATCCCCACTATTCAGTCCCAGACTTAATGTCTTCACAGACAACACCCCACTCTCCTCCAACCATTGACCAGAACAATACTAGGGAGCAGGAGTTCCAAACCCGAGCCCCCCATCTCTGAGATCTCAGTACAGGCAGCTGCATCTTAGTTGTCTTGTTGATGTGTCTGGTCACGGTGTTGCCTCTGACGCTGTGCCCAGCTGGTGGATAAAGACTAAACACGAGCCCAAACTGCTCCTCTCAGCAGCTTGTGGACAGCTGTATAAAGAGCGAGAATGTGGATTTAAACTCTACAGACAGCATTGCTGAGGTTCAACGGGAGACAGTCTTTTGTTTTTACCAGTCTGCAGTGGTAACTAACCATCCCTGACAAATCTCTTAGTCATCCAGTTCCTTATCTCAACGTCAATTGCTTTTTTGTTGGCTACCACTCTGCCAAGGACATGGGGAATGCCTTTTAACATTTGCTCCCTCTCTCTCACAATTACTCTGACTCTTGCAATTCAGGTGCAGAGCAAAAAATCATTCTCATCTGCTGACTGTAAGGTGAGGACATTACGGCGATGGCCATGAGAAACTCTTCAACCTACAGTTTCTCCTGTATTTATTATTTAAAGGGATTTCTCTCATATCCCATTTGGAGCCTGAACCCTAACCCCACAGCACTTCTCTTCAATTTGAAAGGTACTTGTCATGGGGACAGCACGGTGGCTCAGTGGTTAGCATTGCTGCCTCACAGTGCCAGGGAATCAGGTTCAATTCTACCCTCAGGCGACTGTCTGTGTGGAGTTTGCACATTCTCCTCGTGTCTGCGTGGGTTTCCTCCGGGTGCTCCAGTTTTCCCCCAGAGTCAAAAGATGTGCAGGTCATGTGGATTGGCCATGGGAAATTGTCCAGTAGTGTCTAGGGATGTGAGATGCGGGGTTAGAAGGACAGAGAAAGAGGCGGTGGTCTGGGTAGGATGGTCTTCGGAGGGCCGTTGTGGGCTAGACGGACCGAGTGGTCCACTTCCACATTGTAAGGATCGTACGATTCTATGTCTTGGAGGGTCTCATGGTGTAGTAGGTATTGTCTTTGCCTTTCAGCCAAAACACTCCAGATTCAAGTCCCACTCCAGGACCCCCACTGTTCACAACCCCCACTAATTGGTCAATTTAAAAATCTTCCCAACACAGGCATTAACAGTAGGAGAAATTCCTTGTTTACAGGGCACACCACCATTAGCAGGTTCCTCTCCGAGCCACTCACCATCCTGACTTGGTGAATATCTACCAGAACTGGGATGGCAGGACTGACGTAGGAAAAGAGACTGCATCAGTTAGGACTATATTCACTAGAGTTTAGAAGCCTGAGGGGTATCTCATAGAAACCTATAAAATTCTAACACAGTGTTAGAGCAGGAAGGATGTTCCTGATGACTGGGGAGTCCAGAACCAGGGGTCACAGTCTAAGGACATGGGGTGAGCCATTTTGGGTTGAGATGAGCAGAAATGTCTTCACCCGAAGAGCAGTGAAGCTGTGGAATTCTCTGCAGCAGAGAGTGGTTGAGGCCAAAACACTGAATGTGTTCAAGGAGGTAAATATAGCTCTTAGGACCAAAGGGATCAAAGGGTATGGGGAGAAAACAGGAACAGGGGATTGAGTTCGATGATCAGCCATGACCATATTGATGTGTGGAGAAGGCGCGAAGGGGTAAATGGGCCTACTCCTGCTCCTATTTTTCTACATCTCCATGTTTTTATCATTGTGTTCCTTCAGTGTCATTTTGGAGCTCTCTCCCTAAGGTCACCATCCCTTCTCAAGGGGTAATTAAGGACTGGTAATATATACTGCCCAGACAATGACATCCATATCCCATCAGCAATTTTTTAAAAAATCATTTAATAGAAAGAAACTTGGATCTTCTCCCTTCACTATCTGTAGGTCCAGACACAATGTGCTGTTGACCAATTGAGACTCCCTGTCTGAAGCATAATACCAGCATCATTTATTATCGCCTCGCAAGTCCAAAGATGTGCAGGTTAGGTGGATTGGCCATGCTAAATTGCCCGTAGTGTTCAGGGGTGTGTAGATTAGGTGGGTTATAGGGAGATGGGTCTGGGTGGGATGCTCTGAGGTTCGGAGTGGACTTGTTGGGCCGAAGGGCCTGTTTCCACACTGTAGGAATTTTGCAATTCTGTGATCAATGAAGTGACAGCACAAGGTGACTCGGTCTGGCTGTTAGATTATCAGTTAACCCCGGTGCACAAGCTCAGGTTCCACAAAGCTCTAGTGTCCCTGGAGAGGACAGTCTTCCTGTGCAGTTTGCCTGGCCAAAAGCACAATCTTTCTGCCTTGCCATGATACTAGTATTCAGCACACCCTGCCAGTAATCACTGGCTCACAGATTTTTCTTTTTTATTCATTCTAGCAGGGCATTGCTGGCCAGGCAGCATTTATTGCCCATCCCTAATTGCCCAGAGGGCAGTTCAAAGTCAACCACATTGCTGTGGGTCTGGAGTCACATGTAGGCCAGACCAGGTAAGGATGGCAGTTTCCTTCCCTAAAGGACACTAGTGAACCAGATGGGTTTTTCCGACAATCAACAATGGATTCAAGGTCATCATTAGATTCTTAATTCCAGGTATTTATTGAATTCAAATTCCACCATCTGCCATTGTGGGATTCGAACCCAGGTTCCCAGAATGTTATCTGGGTCTCCAGATTAACAGTCCAGTGATAATACCACTAGGCCACCGCCTTCCCTCAGCATTAACAGCACTTGGTCAGGGGAAATAATAGCGGTTCCTGGACCAACACAACATGCATGGGCCAACAAAATGAGAGACATTTTGACTGAAAGAGAAATGTTACAATATTTCTGAAGAAGGGTCTAGGCCCGAAATGTCAGCTTTCCTGCTCCTCTGATGCTGCTTGGTCTGCTGTGTTCATCAAGCTCTACACCTTGTTATCTCAATGTTACAATTAACTTCGGTATAAATAAATGAGACAAATATGGATAATAAGATCGTTGGCATTGCCTGTATTCTTAACTGAAATTAGCAGTAGATTGATTACTTACTTTGAGCTCACTTCTTCATGAACAGCCTTCAAGGCATCCCGTATGTAATTAGGGAGAGGTTTAGCAGGAGTGACACACATATTCAGGATCAGATCTTCAGTCTTCTGCAGCCTCCTTCCATAGTAATCCTTGAGACAGAGCATGACAAAGCAGTCATAACACAGAAACAGGTATTAGACCCAACAATCAACCTAACACAAACCTCTCTCACCCCAACTTCATCTAATCCCATCAAAATGTCTTTCTAGTCCCTTTTCCCTCAGCTTCTTCATAAAAGCATCTACTGACCTCAGCAGCATGTGCTGATAAGTCCCTTGTTCTCATCACTCTCTGGGAGATGGCACAATAAAAAATATAGTGCAAAAAATCCCTCTTCTCACGAGATCTGTGTGTCGGCAGCATTTGTTATTTTAATATCCAGCCCTAATTTTTTTATTCTCATTTGTTAACCCAGCCAGCTTCAACTTAGTGACTGGCTAGATCATTTCAGAGGACAGTGAACAGTAAATGATATTGTTGTGGGTCTGGAGTCACATGCAGGTCTGAGCAGGCAAGGATGACAGATTTCCTTCCCTGTATTAGTGAACAAGATGGGCTTTTTCGAGAATCGACAATGGTTTCATGGTCATCAGCAGACCCTTAATTCCAGATTCTTTATTGAATGCAATTTCCACCATCTGCCGTTGCAGGAGTTGAACTCCGGTCCCCAGAACGTTAGCGGAGTTTCTGGATTAATAATCTACCGTTAATACCACTAGGCCATTGCCTCCCCAGTTTTCTGCAGCTATTGGATTTGAAGCCATGTCCAACAAAGCAAAAAACGGCAGATTCTGGAAATCTGAAACGAAAACAGAAAGCTGCCGAAGAAACTCAGCTGGTCTGGCAGCACGTGTGGAAAGAGAAACACAACGAATGTTACGAGTTCAGTGACCCTTCTTTAGAACTCCAGAGGAAGGGTCATTGGATCTGAAACATTTAACACTGTTTCTCTTTCCACAGATGCTACCAGACAAGCTGAGTTTCTGTTTTTGTTTGTTTCAAGTGTCCTCATGTCTTAGCCAACAACTTGTATTCAAGCAAACTGGCAAAGAAAAAACAATTTATCAGGTGAATCAATGTTGATATCTCGTGTGATGATTAGTTATCCTGGTCTCTTCACTAAGATTCCCGAGGATGTCACAAGAAATGGAAGATTATGCTTGCTTGCTTTCTTTCTATCTCTCTCTCGCTGTCTCTCTATGGCTGGTGAAAGCTGAACCTGGCTTTACCAACGTGAGATCAAAACCCGAGCTTTTCATTATCTGGATGTCGTATCTTCGACAGGAAAGGAGAGAAGAACCACATTTATGTAGCACCCTTCAGCGGCTCAGGACACCCTGCAGCTCATTAAAAAGTAAGGTACGTTCTTGGCTGCAAAGTGTTGTAAGGCAGAAAACGCAGCAATCAATTTGTGAATGGCACAATATCACCAACGTCAATGGGAAACAGCGAGGCTACCTGTTTTTGCTCAACTGATAAACGACGGCCACGATACCACCTCATTTCTTTAAATAATACTGCAGGGTATTTTACAAACATCTAGGGCTTTAGTTTAATCTCTCACTCAGATGCTCCTTCAGATTCGAGGCTGACACATCAGTGCAGCAAAGTCCTCAGGTCCCTGGAGTGAAACTCGAACCCATGGCATTTCAAAAAGAGATTCATGAGGGCCAATTCCTGGGACGAAGGAGTTGATTTATCGCAAACAGTTAAACAGGTCAGGTGTTTATTCACGAGAATTTAGCAGAATGAAGGTGATCTCATTGAAAGATTTTGAGAGGGCTCAACAGGACAGATGTTGACAAGACTTTTCCACTAATGCAGGAACCTCAAATTAGGGCATATCATTTCTATATTCTCTAACTCTCATTCAAAACTGTGAAGGAATTTCTTGCCTCAGAGTCATGGAGTGATACAACATGGAAACAGACCCTTCAGTCCAACCAGTCCATGCCAACCATAATCCCAAACTAAACTAGTCCCAATATTACCCTCCAAACATTTTTCTGTCATGTACTTATCTAAATGTCTTTTAAACATTGCAGAGAGTGTTGTTCCCACATATCTGCTGCCCTTGTACTTCTAGATGGAAGTGGTTGAGGGTTTGGAAGGTGCTGTCTGAGGATCTTTGGTGAATTTCTGCAGTGCATCTTGTAGATAGTACACACTGCTGCTACTGAGAGTCGGTGGTGGAGGGAGTGGATGCTTGTGGATGCAGTGCCAATCAAGCGGCTGCTTTGTCCTGGATGGTGTCATGTTTCTTGAGTGTTGTTGGGGCTGCACTCATCCAGGCAAGTGGGGAATATTCCATCACACTCCTGACTTGTGCCTTGTAGATGGTGGATGAGTTTTGGTGAAACAGGAGGGGAGTTACTCCCTGCAGTATTCCTAGATTCTGACTTGTTCTTATAGCCAATATGTTGAGGTGGTGAGTCCAGTTGAGTTTTTGGTCAACAGTAACCACCAAGATGTTATGACGCGGTGGAGCATTCAATGCTGGTAACATAATTGAATGTCAAGGGAGGCAGTTAGAATATATCTTATTAGAGATGGACATTGCCTGGCATTTGTGTGGCATGAATGTTACTTGCCACTTGTCAGCCCAAGTCTGGATATCGTCCAGATCTTGTTGCATTTGGAAGTAGACTGCTTCCGTATCTGAGGAGTCACGAATGGTGCTGAACATTGTGCAATCATCTGCAAATATCTCCACTTCTGATTTTATGATGAAAGAAGGTCATTGATGAAGCAGCTGAAGATGTCTGGACCTAGGACACTACCCTGAGGAACTCCTGCAGAGATGTCCTGAAGTCGAGATGACTGACCTCCAACAACCACGACCATCTTCCAACCGACTGAGAGTTTGCCCCTGATATCCATTGATTCCAGTTTTGTTAGGGCTCCTTGATGCCACACTCGGTCAAACGCAGCCCTGATGTCACGGGCTGTCACTCTCACCTCTGGGATTCAGCTCTTTTGTCCATGTTGAAGCAAGACTGTAATGAGATCAGGAGCTGAATGGCCCTGGCAGAATCCAAACTGACCATCTTTAGTGTTTTAATTAATTCACTGATTGAATTTTAATTTGATTCAAAATTTCCAACCCTGACATTGCTTACCTTGAGGAGCTATAAAACCATTGGTCATGCTATCGTTGAGAAGATGAACAATGAGAGAGTTTCTGGTTTGATGTTGACTCTCCCTCGTTAATGTTTGTATATTCAACTCAGTGAAACACACCAATATAGGTTTACAAAACCCAATAGTTTAAGAGATTAGTAAATCAAAAATTAAAAATGACTACGTTACCTTCACATCTTCTCGAATTCCCATCTCTCCAGAACATTCAGAAGAACTAGAAAAATATTTTAAAATCAATTATTAGATATTGCCCTTAGCTGTTTTTCCTTTTTCAGTGCATATTGAATTAGAAAAAACATTTATGAAAGATTCACTTACATTGTAGATGATTAGAAACTGCGTTAAAAGCCCAATATTTTAACAGCTCAGGAAGGATAAAAATACAGACTGCTATAGTGTTTGCTAATGAAGAGTTTAAAAAAGCTGGTTCAGATACTCCAGAGAGACATTCTGTTGAAATAACACATAGCACGTCTCCAAAACGTTCATTCAAAGTAAACATAAAGGTGCAATGAGAGAGATTTATAGTTTATTGTTAACCCTCTCTCCTCGCTGAGAGGTTTAGGCTGTTGGCAGCTAAAGGCATGGCCGTCATTGTCACAGAGATAGGGGCCAGAGATCAAGGAGCAAGAACTTGGAGAACTGCAGAAACTTCAGAGGGTTGGAGGAGGTTAGAGGATGCAGAAAGAGGGAGTCCAGTGATAATAAGGCCTCACTGAAGGGAGCAGGGTGAGTTTCTGAGATCAAAGGACACCTGAGATTTTTGTTATTATTGTTAGGACTCACCATGGTCTATTGGAGTTGGTTTTTCTACGTTCCTGGGCAGAGAGGAATTCTACCATGTTTTGTATAAATTTAGCTCAGCTGCTAGTATTGTACCTGTCCAAGGATATTAAGGGTGGGATGGGATTAACAGTGCAATTATGATGCATCATTGATCCATTGTCTAGGCTTCAGACAGCAGATGACTTTTGCCTGCCCTTTAGGCTGGTACTTCAGTGTAGTACTGAAGGGAGTATTGCACTGTAGGAAATGTTGTCTTTAAGGAGACATTAAAGAGACGTCCCCATCTAACCCCTCAGGGGACAGACAAAATTCCATTTTGAAGAAGAGATGTTAAGTTCATCCTGGCCAATTCCTCTATCAAGTCACAGAAAACAGCTCATGATAACATTGTAGTTTGTGGGACCTTGGTGTGTGCAAATTAGCTATTGCATTCCCTGCATCACAGTAGCAGCTATACTCCAAAAAGTGGGTAATTGGACATGAAGTGTTTTGGGATGTCCAGAGGTCAATAATGTGGACATACAAATGCATCAATTCACATGAAGAATGGTCAGTCAGGCCTATGCCATGACTGTCCCAGGACTTGCCAGCTTCAAGAGAGGAGGCAGAAGTTTGATCAATGAAACAATTTGTCCTGATAGGAAACAGAGACAAAGCTTTCCAACAAACACTTCAGAAACAAAATCCACAACTGGGCTGGTTCACACAATTAGTAACACAAGTTCAAGTTCAAGTTCAAGTTCAGACCAATTTCAAGAATCCGAGATTAGACTGACTGCAATATCCCCTTCCAATTGAGACCTTCAAAACAGCAGTGACACGAGTGGAAACAGCAGTGTGAATGTACTTACAAGCACTGCAGAAGGCAGCTCACCACCATCTGCTCCAAGACATTTAGGAATGAATAGTAAAATGCTGGCCTGTTCTACAACTCTCAGATCCCATGAATCAAACACCCCACCATGAGATTTCATGCCAAAGCGAACATGAGTGACCAAGATGTCACAACAATTCATATTCCAGATTGTAGTAGGTTTCTTCTGAATCTCCTTTGACTGGTTTTGTAATCGTCCCTTTCATAACCTCAGGTACAAATGCAAATAATCTTCTATGCACCTTAGCTTAGCTTGTCAAAATCTTGAAAGGTTCTCTCAAGACACGGTGTTAACAGCTACAGCTTATATAAAAATGTTAATTTCTCAAGCCTCAATTACATTCTGATAAGGCCTTAGTTAAATGAGACCAATATTAGACCTCCCCCCACTGCTTTTTAATAGACTCAGTGTAATTATGTATACAACACTGCACATTAACTACATCTTATGAAAAATCATAACTCTAATTGCACACAGATTCTAACTGTTTTAGCCATTCATTCACCATACTAATATTCATTCAGGGGATATAAGCATTGCAGGCTCTGCCAGCATTTATTGCCAGTCCCGAGTTGCCCCTTGAAAAGGAGGCAGTGAGCTGCCTTCTTAAACTACTGCAGTCCATGTGCTGTAGGTAGACCCACAATGCTGTTAGGAAGGGAGTTCCAGGATTTTGTCCCAGTGACAGTGAACGGTGATATCTTCCAAGCCAGGATGAAGTCAGAAGTCACACAACACCAGGTTATGGGCCAATAGGTTTATTTAAAAGCACAAAGCTTTCACCACTGCTCCTTCGTCAGGTGAAGTGTTGACAAAGGAGCAGCACTATGAAAGCTTGTGATTTTAAATAAACCTGTCAGGTTATAACCTGGTGTCGTGTGACTTCTAACTTTGTCCACCCCAGTCTAACACTGGCACCTCCACATCAAGTCAGGATGGTGAGTGGCTTGGAGGGGAACTTGCAGGGGGTGGTGTTCCCATGTATCTGCTGCCCTTGTTGACCAGTTTAGAGTCATAGAGCTGTACAGCATGAAAACAGACCCTTCAGTCCAACCCGTCTGTGCTGACCAAATATCCTAAATTAATCCAATCCCAATTGCCAGCCTTTGCCCATATCCTTCCAAACCCTTTCTATTCAGAGACCCATCCAGATGCCTTTTAAATGTTGTCATTGTACCAGCCTCCACCACCTCCTCTGGCAGCTCATTCCATACACGCACCACCCTCTGCGCGAAGAAGTTACTCCTTAGGTCCCTTTTAAAGCTTTCCCCTCTCACCTTAAACCTACGCCCCTCTAGTTTTGGACTCCCCTACCCTGGGGGAAAAGACCTTGGCTATTCACCCTGTCCATGCTCCTCATGATGTTATAAAGCCTCTTTTCTAAGGCTGTGGAGCTCCAGGGAAAATAGCCCCAGCTTACTGAGCCTCTCCCCACAGGTTTGGAGGAGCTGAGGAAGAAGCTCGGAAGCTGTTGCAATGCAGTGTCACTTAACGAACGAAGTGCAGTAAAACTGGACTGGAGACTGGATAAGCCCCAGCGACATTGTGCAGTGTCTCCAGTCTGAGTGCATGCGGTTTCGCAGCTCCGTACACTCGCTCAGCTTGTGTTAACCACAGACACATACCTTTCCCCATGGCCTTGCTGCTGCGCCATTCCTTCCCTTCCGTACTCAGTGTCAAAGTCCCCCCCCAACTACGCCGGGGGGCGGCTTTCTGCGCATGAGCAGTAAGCCTTCTTCCCCCCACCCCCCCGGTAGCGGGTTCGATCCCGGTGTCGGATTCAGGTGTCGGAGCCCCTTCCAGAGTAAAGCCCTCGCTCCAAAAAGCCAGCATTATTGCTGCAAATAAAGAAAACTCAATGTGAACAAAGGGTTCCATAATCACCGGAGGAGGCCGTTCGGCCCAACGCGCCCTGCACTGGCTCTTTAAATGAACCCTATGATCAAACTGGGCTCGATTTCACCACCCCCCAAAACTAAACTGCCTTGAGTTTCCATCATGTTCAAAAATATGTGCATTAGTGTGTTTTTATCTGGTAAGGGCAGGATTTTTTTTTGATTGTGGTGGCTCAGAACATAGAACATTACAGCGCAGTACCGGCCCTTCGGCCCTCGATGTTGCGCCGACCTGTGAAACCAATCTGAAGCCCATCTAACCTAAACTATTCCATTATCATCCATATGTTTATCCAATGACCATTTAAATGCCCTTAAACTTGGCGAGTCTACTATTTTTGCAGGCAGGGCATTCCACACCCTTACTACTCTCTGAGTAAAGAACCTACCTCTGACATCTGTCCTATATCTATCACCCCTCAATTTAAAGCTATGTCCCCTCGTGCTAGCCATCACCATCCGAGGAAAAAGGCTCCC